AAATAAGCAATTAAAAGTGAGACAATAATGGTCACACAATCAACTGTTAGATCCCTCTTTTTCTTCCATATTTATAACATTGATTCATGCTCTTTAACAATGTATATATAATTTTCTTTGAATAAACGTTATACATAAAATTTGAGTATTTTTTTGGCATGGAATGCATTATCGTATTTTACATTAATTTATATGGGAAAAATTGTTTCACTTAACGAGTGTCTCGCATTACGAGTAAGATTCTGGAACGAATTATGCTCGTTAAGCGAGGTTCCACTGTAATCTGACACAACAAACTAATCAAACCAAGTATGAGAATTATTTGTGCGGCAACAGAAACTGCTAATAACATCAACTGCATGTTAACACCTAGGTCTTTCATCAGTGAGACACCCTGTCACAGACAAATAGCATGATAGGTGATTAGGATAAGTGAATGTTGCATGACTGAAATAGAAGACTTGAAATCAGACCTGTGGGTGAATCTTGCAGCAAACAGCACTTCTACCAAATTAACAAATTGTGTTGCTATGTTCCAATAAAATACTGGAATGTCACTTGTATACAAATACAGAAGTGGTGGCTGCTTTATTCCTCCTGACTACTCATGAAATGATTTGCCATGATATGCAAACTGGGCCTGGCAATGAATCTGCTTATAAATCTTACTCATAATACCACCTAATCTTTAATTAAACCACTTCTCTCTTTTTTATAGAAAATATTTCCACCTTTATGGGGCAAGGCGAAGAAACCATACTGTCAACTCTGTTCATTCTGGTCCATCACACTACTAAACTAAATTACAGAATAATTACTAACACCAGCTAGTGTGATTCAATTTTTAGATATTTATTGCCTTTACATGTTTTGGTCAGCTGACCGTATTGAATTGAATTGAATTTATTTACATTCTATAAATCCTAAGCAGGTTAGTACCTTTGGATACAGAACAAGTCAAAAGGTTACATACATAAGTACAGGCAATTTTAGCTTAAAAATTAATATAACTTAATTTTACATCATTCTCTATTTACATTGAAGTATTCATCTAAAGAGTAGAAGGAATGAGCATGTAGATAATTCTTTAACTCTGATTTAAACTTTTTAGTATCACTGCCCAAGTTTTTAATACTTTGTGGCAGATTGTTGAACACTTTTATGCCAGTAAAGTAGACTCCTTTTTGATATACTGATAAAGTTGATGAGGGTAGGTGGAAGTCATATTTTTGTCTAGTATTCATGTTATAGACATCAGAATTTAATTTGAATTTATCTTTGTTGTAAACAACAAATAAGAGAAGCGATAATATGTATTGCGATTGAAGAGGTAGAATTTTTAATTTCTTAAATAATTCTCTACATGAATCTCTACTTCTACATCCTGTAATGATTCTAATTATATTCTTTTGTATTTTAAAAATTATTACACTATGTGAAGAGTTCCCCCAAAATATTAATCCATAGTTCATAATAGAATGAAAGTAGGCATGGTAAACCATCTTCAATGTTTCCTGTGACATAAAAGGCTTAATTGATCTCATCGCATAGCAAGCTGCATTTAATTTAGGTATAATTTGTTCAATATGTATTTTCCAAGACAGTGTACTGTCTACATGTATTCCAAGGAATTTTGTATCAAGTACTTTACAGATTAATTTGTTGGCATAACTGATGTCCAGATCAATTTGGTGGTTGTTTTTAGTTGTGAATGATATGTAATGGGTTTTATCAAAATTTAATGAGAGTAAATTGGCTTCGAACCATCTGTTTAAGGCTTCAAATACAATATTTATGTCATTTTTAAAGTTTTCAAATTTAGAGTTCTTAAATATTATACTAGTGTCATCTGCATATAGAATTGGTTTAGATTTATTGTTGATGGTTTTAGATAGATCATTTATGTAGAGAAGAAAAAGTAAGGGACCTAAAATTGATCCTTGTGGAACACCGTGCTTTATAATTCCCCAGTTTGAAAATGCATTATGACTGGAGTTTTTATTATTTATTTCAACTCTTTGATACCTGTTTTTGAGGTATGATTTGATCCATTCATTAGCTTTGCCAGTTATTCCATAGAAATTTAATTTCGATAGTAAGATATCATGATTAACACAATCGAAAGCTTTTGCTAGATCACAGAAAATCCCTCCCACAATTAATCTGTCATTGAGAGCACTTAAAATATCGTTAGTTAGTTCATAGGTTGCTTTTTCTGTTGTTAGGTCTTTCCTAAATCCAAATTGCTCTTTGACTAATATGTTGTTAGAATTTAAGTGTTCAAGTAGTCTATTATACATAACTTTTTCAAAGACTTTTGAGAATGAAGTCAATATGGATATTGGTCTGTAATTAGAGATGCATTTTCTCTCTCCTTTTTTAAAAAGTGGTTTCATTACAGCGTATTTTAAGCGTTGAGGAAAAGTACCTGATGATAAAGATTTATTACATAGATGATTCAAGGGTGAACTGATGTAAACAGAGCTTGCTTTAAGTAATTTGGTAGAGATTTCATCATATCCATGTGAATTTTTGGGCTTAAGGGATTTAATAATGTTTTCAATTTCCTTCCTTGTTGAGAATTTGAGATTGATATTTGGAAATGAATTGTTAAAGGCACGAGACAGATAGTATATTGGATTATTATTATTATTATTATTATTATTATTATTATTATTGGAATATGTTTTCTCAGCTAATGAAAGGAAATATTCATTAAATGCACTTGCGATAGCTTGTGGATTGTTAGTGGACTTCCCTTCAATATTCAAACTTTGTACGTCTTCATTAACAGATTTCTTTCCTGATTCAACTTTCACAATATCCCAGGTGGTTTTAATTTTATTGTTTGATTTTAGAATTTGGCTGTTATAGTTATTCTGTTTGGCTTCTTTAATGACTTTTGACAAAATTTTACAGTACATTTTGTAGTGACTTTTTAGTCTTGGATCATTACTGTCCCTACTGGCCAAATATAGTTGTCTTTTGTGTTTACATGAAGTTTTTATTCCAATTGTTATCCAGGTGGATTTGTTTTTATTTTCATTTTTGACTATTTTTAAGGGAAAGCTTGAATAAAAGATCCTCAAGTATGTGTTCAGAAAGCAATTAAATTTAGAATCAATATTATTGCTGTCAAATACATTGTCCCATGATTCATTACTTAATTTTGTGACAAAATCTGCCATCGTATGCTTGTTGATTTTCCTTACTGTTTGATATTGTTGATTACTGGGCTGAAGGTCAATATTATTTATTTCTATGAGTTGAGCATCATGATCGGATAAGCCATTTATAAAGGGTCCTACAGTATAGTCTCTTAATTTTGAGTTATCAATGAATATATTATCTATCGCTGAACTAGAATTATTTTGAACTCTTGTGGGAAAGTTAACAGTACTGGAGAGATTGTAAGATGATAACAAAGAGTCTAAATTTAGTTTCCTATTACTGTCGATGAGATAGTTTATATTTATATCACCACAAATTATAAATTCAACTTTTGAACTATGCAGTACATTTAGGATGGTTTCTAATCTATTTATAAAGTGATTGAAGTTTCCAGATGGGGCTCTATATAAAGTCAGTATACAAATATTAGAAAAAGGAGAGTCTAACTTTAGAGCACATGCTTCCAGATCCTGGTCTTTGCAATAATCTTCTAAATTTATTTTAGTAAATTTTAGGTTTTCATGTACAAAAATACTCACTCCTCCTTTCTCCAGTGTTTTCCTACAGTATCTAGCACCTAAATTATAATTTTCTAAGTGAAGATGTTCTAATTCCAGCTGTTTCATGTGATGTTCAGTAAGGCACAGTATGTGTGGAAGATTTGAATAGTATATATAAACATCTAAGCACGTATTATGAAGAAAGCAGTCTTCTGGGATTTGGCACCGTGTACATGTGGTGTTAACCAACGTTTCAGAGGAATGTCGGTTAACACCACATATACACAGTGCCAAATCCCAGAAGACTGCTTTCTTCATAGTCACCGCTGTGAAAGCCTCAAATCTTACATGTATTATGAACTTTGTAATAATACTTCCTGAACAAGTTGATCTTATGCCTTCTGAAGATGGTCAGCTGACCGAAACATGTAAAGACAATAAATATCGACACATTGCATCACACTGGATGTTAATAATTATTCTGTAATTTAACCCGTACTGTATTATCTGCCTTCAATTAAAATTTAAGTTGTAGGGAATAGAAAAAAAAGGAATTATAAGAAACATTATGAATGTGAATCCTAAAATACCTTGTCGGGGACTTTTTAGACACCTAAATATACTGCCCTTTTATCCACAATATATGTTTTCTTTATTGTTATTAGTAGTAAAAAATATACACCGATTTGTATTTAATAATGAAATACATACTATAAATAAACGACAAAGTACTAATTTACACATACCATTGGTAAATTTGACCAAATGCAAAAAGGGTGCCTATTATATGGGTATAGAAATTTTCAATCATTTACCTCGTGACATAAGGGAACTGTTATATGATGTTAAAAAATTCAAATTAGCTACTAAAAACTTTTTCTTAAAGGAACCCTTTTATTCAGTAAAAGAATACCTTGAATGGTCAGCATAATGATGATTCATACATAGTGTAATTGTTCTTTGTATTACCTATTTACAGCTGTGTTATTCATTTGTATATTATTTTTGTGTTAGTATGTTTTAGTGTATTATATGAAATACTGGTGTGATTGATACAAACAGTGTCCTTGATTACATAGTGTTATTTACTGACAAGGTTGTGTGTTATAACTGCTACTATTGTACTCATTCTTAATAATGGACTACTTCTATATCTGTGGTGACCTGTTATCACCAGTATGGATTACTTGAAGTATCGATCAAATAAATAAATAAACATACCTTACCCAAACAAGCACACGAATTTCACAAGAGTTCCTTCTGCACTTCGTTCCATTAACAGCAAATGACATGCACAAAGTTCTACAAACTGTATCTACTGGTTCATACCTGCACTTCAAATGTAAAGTACTTCTTCAGATTCTTAATGATCATAACCAAAAATGGAAGCTTTATACCAAGAGTTTTCTTTGGATCAGCTGGACAGGTTATGTAAGTTGTGCTAACATTGGTTCCAACAATTTCCAGCACTAAAGACTGGATATCATTATCAGTTATTCTTTTTATATGTCCATTTCTCACTTTCTTATCCCATATTTGCAAGGGCTTGCTTCCAATGCTGTACAAAATTGACAAAAATCCACTCTGAAATGTGTTTTTAAACATGACACGACGGCTGTTGTTTACAGTATAACACACAACCCTCCTTTGTTAACTTTCGGACAGGGTCACTAACGTTCCGTTATGAAGTGTATCCGCTTCGGTACAAAGTTTACCACACTGTATATCAAAATTTGAACTTGGAAATGTGCAACTTCCATCAGACATCTTTCATGAGCTTAAAGAACTTACAAAAGTGACAATCAAAAGCGTAGGTACACCACCGAAAGAACTCGGCCACCAATTTTACATGAATATGTGTTTTCATGCCTCATCAAAATAAACTGATTTGTAGTTTCTCCAACTAAGAAAGTACAGAATTATGCAGTCTCAAAATGTACAACATAACAATAAGAATAGAAATTATAAAAAAAAAAAAATGGAATTCAGACTTCGAAAGTTCACAATCTCCGAAGTCTCCGAAACTGCTTTACCCACCAACCTCCGCCAACCTCTGTATTTCCGGGATCGGCCCACCATATCATGCCAAGATTCTCAGCCTTCTGGCTAAGTTCAGAGTGTAAATCGCATCTCAGACTTTTGGCTAAGTTCAGAGCTTATATCATAGATGCATAGCCTAGTGCTATCCTGTACATCTATTGTATTTGAACAAAAATTGTATTTTCAAACATTTGTTGAATAAAGTAAATATTACTGCCGTTTGAAACGCAACGCAATACTGTTTGGGCAAGTCCAAACCAAGGAAACTAGCAACCGTAATCTCGGAGAATTCTTATCAGCCTGAGCTTAACAAATGGTACTGAATGGAGTAGAGAAAATTGAGGAAACGGCAAAGCAACTGGCGGACAGACTGAGACCCCCAACTTCCAGGCAACAGAGCATGTCAGTCTTCTCATAATTGCATTTCAGCTTGGTTTCCTAGTGTTATCTGTTCTATAATACGCCTCAGTGATTCAGTTGTTTCTTAAGTAGGCAAGGCAGGTTGACGAAGCTGCTAATTTTGTTTTTGTGCAGTTAATTGAGCAACAGCCTGGTATATATGACAATCGCCACTCAAACTATGCTAGGCAGGACAAAATAGTTTTGGCTTAGGAAAGAATTTCTCATGAGACGGAGTCTGGATCCAGATTAAGTTCTTTCGAAACAATATTGGTGCAACTCATTCAAGAACGGATGCACCCAGTGTTTCCTTCTCCTAATATTGTACTTAAATATCCTGTTGCATTAATATATCATTTATTTCACATATATTTCCATCGTACATACAACTTATTATATAGTCCCCCTTCCTCTACTTTACATGGTTCGGCCATATACGGCCATCGTCAGGTGTCTTCTATCTTGCTAAAATTGTTGCACTGTATGTCATAATTTCGTATTGCAATTAAAATTAAAATTAATTATAACTAATTAACATCCTAATATTTCCCTTATGGTCTTCGTCGTCCTCTCGTCTCACACCGTCTCAACCGGTCTCAACTACCACCATATTATGACAAGATCAGTATTATTATCTTCCATTGAAGAAGGTAAGTGCACGAAATCAAAATATACAATCATGCATTACGTAGGACGAACATACCCATTTCAGATGATATTATCAACTAATCAAACTTAAGTTTCCTCAAGGTGAGCAGCTAATATGGAAACCAGTTTTCTCTTTGAAATCGGCAACATTTCTCGGAATTGCGGTTTGCAGTTTTCTTGGTGCGCCCTCGGCTAAATACGCTGTGTAAGTTTGACAGGGGTTGTCCAGTGACTGAGATTAGCACTTCTCAGGGGCCCAAGATAGTGTCTTCCCCCTCCCCAGGACGGAAGCAGTTACTGTTTCTGAAAAGTCGTGTTTTATATTTTATAGAATACCAGATGATGGAAACAGTCCAAAAACCAAACAATCCTGTGTGTTACACAATCGTCAGAATGCTTTAGAATTTACAGAGTACTAAGCATTTTATATACAATTTCAGGGTTGAATGGATAAATGAATGTACAACGGGTGGGCCCTCTTTGCCCCTGTACCGCCACCACAGTGATTTTACTACAGGAGTAAGTCGGTTGTTAATAATCCTTGGTAGCAAAGGAAGCACCACGGACAACCATGGCTTATAGGCGGATGTGCTTTGCAATTCGATTCTGATCGATTTTGATGCATTGAGTTTGGCGTGTTTGGTGGTCCCACGTGGTTTTTGTTTTCTAGAAATTACCGGTGAGTTTGTTGCTAGTAATAATATTGCAGACTGCGCTATATTCATATGTATTACGATTCATAAACGAGCGTTGTGTTTAGAAGCAGATATTATTGTAATGTTTCATCATAAAGCTTGCCTTGTGTTTAGATTCTGTTATTTCTGTAAACGTATCGTAATTGTTAAGGCTGTAGACTAGGATTATTTCTGTGAACGTATCGTAATTGTTAAGGCAGTAGCCTAGGACATAAGAATTAGTCTGTACAGGGTTAGGATTTCACAAGGTCTCAAGTAGTGTATGAAATTGAAGTATATTAGTGGGTTGTTGTCCCACCACAGTTTCCATTAAAGGAACGTTTTGCGGTATGTGCTGAATTGTTTCTTGAAGATAATCAGCCTACCATTCACACACGAAACTTCTTTCCAGATAACACGGTTCTCCCACCATTCGCATAAATCTTTCTTGGGCCAACCAGTGTCCCCTAACATTCACACAAAGCTCTCTTGGAGATATCTAGTTTCTCCTAGCGTTTGCACAAACCGAACATAATATCGTTATAGTTTCTCCAAGAAATTGTTATCAAAGCAGTTTGAGGTTCCTACAGCGATGACTGTGTAGATTACTGTATTCTGGCATGTGACGTTTTGGAGTAACAGTGAAAATTGTTGGACTACACAGTGTCACATCCCAGAAGGTTGTTCTCTGCAGAATGTAGTAAGTTAAATTAGATTTGTCTTGTAGAATGCTGTTTTCTGGGATGAGACACCACAGAGATGAAGGCAATATGTACTTCTTCTGAAGGGGTGGTAAACTTGTATCAGACTATATGGCATCACTTCCCAGAAGATAATATTCTTTGTAATCAGACTGAGAATCTTACATAGATTTGATTTATGTGCATATGTTTTTCTGCTTATGCAAAACCTCAGTATGTTGAGGAAAGCTTATATATAATGTATAGCATTAACTGCTAATGTTACTAAGTTGTGTGATATAGCAATAGGAAACAGTGTACGCATACAGTGTGAAGATACATAATGTTTAGAAGTTAATGTAGTTTTTATAATTTTTAGATTGTGTTTGGTCCCGTAACTAATAGATATAATATTAAAATTCAGCTGAGGAATGTGTGGTCACTGCACTGGGAAGTTCTTACAAGAGGAAAGGTTATTTTGTTTTATCTGAGTAATAGTAAAATTGAGGCATCATTTTTAGTATTATTACAATTATAAATTGTCTTTGCTAATTGCTGTTTAAGTGACATTCAGAAATGTAAAAATGGTTGGAAATCTTAATCAAACAGAACTCTTGATGGGAGAATGTCTGGTAAGGACTTGTGCATAGTTCCAGAAAATGTCAGTTGACTCCCATAAATGTAATGAAGTTCTCTACTTCTGATCTATGTCTTATTGACCCCTAACGGTGAATCAGTGGATGGACAGCTGGGTGCATGCAGCTGTGAAGTAGGAAGAGATTTAGTTTGAAACCGTAAAGAACCATGATGTGTGATATGACCAGGCATTGCATGGGGAAGTGTAGTTTTCTGTCTTAGGACATGCTCTTGTATGTTTGTTGCAGCAATGGTATTTTTTACATGTGCACACTGTGGGGAATCACTGAAAAAAAGTAAAGTTGAGAAACACTACCAGACAGTTTGTTCAAGAAACTCTGTTGCAGTAACCTGTGTAGACTGTTGCAAGGACTTCAGGTACTGGAGACTTCAGTTCTATTTTAACTCTAAAGTTTCTTCCTATTTATTAGACTCAGGAAATGATTTTTTTTTTTGGACAGTTCCAACATGGATAATATGAGAGTAAGTCAAGATGTGCCTTCACTGTATTTATTAAGATGGTATAGAACTCTCAAATGCATGATATTTTAATGCAGTCTTGCTGCTCAACACACAGATCCAGTATTACAGAAACTTACACACTTTTTCACAGAACAGTATTTATGACCAGGCAGAAGTCACACGTGCACTACCTTCTCCTTCAGCTCAATTGTTGCCAAACAGTGGCCTCTTACAGCATTTTTGAGAGGTCAAAACAAAATGATAGTGTGATAGGGCAAGGTCAGGACTGTATGGTGGATGTTGCAGAGCTTCAACATGCGCTCTTCCTGGCAAACTGTGGCCATAGTGTGGGGTCATCCATTGCCATGCAGTAACACAGTATCTTGACAATTTTTCCTGCATTTACCTAGATCGCCACTTTAGCTTGTCATGCATTATCTCAGTGTAACGTGCACTGTTTACCCCATAGTCATTCCCCCTGCTTCTTCCTGTTACAGATATGTAGATTTTAAAGTTGGAAGATATCATGTAGATGATTGTCTTTTCTCCTTTCCTTGACAAGCCTGTTTAGACTTTTTAGTATTTTTTTAACTGGTCTCCCATGCTTGTATAGCCCTTTGGTTGTACTGAAAAGCAATTTTTTTGCCTGTTAATGCTCATTCTGTTGTGGTGGGTTAAGCATATTCCACTTCAATTAGCTGTTTTCCATTTCCCAAATAAACATTTTGTTCTCGGCTTCATTCCAAATTTTTTCTATTCTGCTACATCCATTGACACTTTGGCTCCTCCTAACATAGTGGAACATGTCAAATTAAAAACAGGGTTATCTCTGATAATGCAGTAAAAACTTGTCAAAAATTTAAATGCTGGGAAGAAACAAGCTGGCTGAATAGGATCATACATTAGTGTTTCAAATGGAACAGACAGACAGTTAAACATTTTATGACTGTTTAACCCTGGTTTCATTTTATAAAATTTTGGCTCTCTCTTTCCAGGCTCATAGTTTTTTTTATATACTTTCCCACATATTCCTTGATACTGATGGGGAATGCTCAAGGGAATTTAAATATTTGTCTCACTTTGCAGTGATCAGACATACCCAGCACATACAAAGTGTGTTTCTGAAGAAGAGAAATATTCAGCAAAGGGGTTTGTACCTCGTCCCTCTGCAAACAAAGGAGAACATAAACAAAAGAAATGGCAAGATATTATCTGTTCTCTACAAGGGAATGACAGCAGCCTTTCCCATGATGAACAGACAATTTTAAACATCATTGTCGACCGTGAAAATGTTCCTCGAAAGAAACTCAAGTTTCAGGTAATGTGGAACATATTTTGCACAGATTTTTTGTCTGATTAAATATTTAATTTATTATTACTTTACTTTATGTTGGTTAACATTTGTTGCGTCTTTAAAAATGGCTTTTTGTCATACTGAAAGACTAATGTAATTCCCTCAGAATGTATGTAGCACGTCCACAAAGTAAGTTTCCCACTCATCCCACAGCTAGCAAACCTTATATTGCGCGACTGCGCGTACATGATAGAGCAGTGATGTAGCATGGCGCATGCACAAATGGAATTTCTCGCGTTCCCACAGTAGCATCGTTGCAGCTGTTGAAGATGGAGGCTCTTATTCCAACTCCCGCCGAATGTGAAGTGCGGTCAGTGATAAAGTTTTTCAATGCACAGAGCATAGCGCTGATCGAAATTCATCGTCAGCTGTGCTGGGTCTATGGGCCTAACATCATGAGCAAGCAGATGGTGCGTCGCTGGTGCAGACAGTTTTCAGCAGGTCGACAAAGTGTGCATGATGAGAAGCGCAGTGGGCAGCCATCCATCATTACCAATGACCTGGTGGGGCTTGTGCGGGAACGCATTATGGAGAATCGTCGCGTCACAATTACGGAACTCAGCAGTCATGTCCTGCAGATTTCCCACTCCTTGTTGCATGAAATTGTCACGGAGCACCTGTTGTTCAGGAAATTGTGCGCCAGGTGGGTGCCGAAGCAACTGACACCAGAACACAAAACAAAGCGCATGGAGTCAGCATTGACCTTTCTGCAGCGGTACCATGATGACGGCGACGAGTTTCTGGACCAGATCATCACAGGTGATGAAACGTGGATTGCACACATTACCCCAGAAACCAAGCAGCAGTCAATGGATTGGTGTCACAGTGGATCTCTCTGTAAGACGAAATTCAAGCAGACGTCGGCGCGGAAAGTGATGTGCATGGTATTCTGGGACAGACGGGGCGTTCTCCACGTCGACTTCCTGACCAGAGGTGAGACGGTGAATGCTGAGCATTACTGTGAAACACTGCAGAAATTGTGACGGGCCATTCAGAACAAGCGGCGCGGGATGCTTATTGCCGGTATTGTCTTCCTACACGATAACGCTAGGTCGCACATGGCTCGACGGACAGCAAGTCTCCTGCAGGAGTTCAGCTGGGAGCTGTTTAATCATCCACCCTGCAGCCTGGACCTCGCTCCCAGTGATTTCCATCTTTTCCTACACCTCAGGAAATTCCTGTCCGGTGAGCGTCAGCATTTTGAGAATGACAGAGAGGCGGAGATGGTTGTCACACAGTGGTTCCAATCCCAGGCGGCAGACTTCTATGACACAGGTATTCAAAAGTTGGTCCCACAGTATGACAAATGTCTCACTTCCGGTGGCGATTATGTTGAAAAATAGCTGAACACTTGCTGTACCTGTTGCAATAAATATTTCCATGAAATTATGTTTTGTTTCTGTAAACGGCCCCAGGGAAACTTACTTTGTGGACGAGCCTCGTACTTGAATGCAACCATTATCCTTATGGTGGTTTTAAATTAGAGTTATGTGGAATGTGTAGCATATTATTACAATTTGGTGGATTCTGCAACCAGTTTGTCGTCAAATGGAAGATACAAATTAGTTTTGTCTTTTATGTGTTAACTTCACTTTTTTTGTTGAGTAATTATACATTAATATCTATAACATAATTTATCATTAAGTAATGGTAAGTGACTTATATAAAGTAGAATCTCAGTATACTGTATCTGAATTTATGGTCTGCATCATTTGGGATGTGTTAAAATTTATTATTCCTACAACATCCTCCCATTGTAGAGATAACTACATGATAGGGCTATAGCATGTCATTTGATATAAGAACATACTGAGCTAGAGTGCAGTATCACTATACTGACTACCTGGCTCAACCAGGAGTGATAAAATGTATGAGATATGCAGTTAGAATTGTTGGACTGGTCTAAAGTGAGTTGTGGAAATAAGCATAAAATTTGTTTATGGATTTATACATGTGGGATGGCATATGAATCATGTTCAGTGGGTACAGTTTGAGTCCTGGCTGGGAATGATCAACTGTGGTTGTAGTTTTTGTAGCTTATCTTCCTCCATACGAATGCCAGAATACATAAAAAATATGGCATTTCTGCATCCTTAAGATCTGTCCTAATTCATCATTTGTAATACCATACCGAAGCAGCTGATACATAAAATATAAAGTAACTGTTGGCACACAAAATTTTGAGATAATTTTCGCATTTGAAGTTGAAAGTGAATGGTATTATGTCATGTCTTGACTGCCAATTAATTATGGCAGCAATAGTTAATTTTACCTTATGAGAGATATGTAATATTTCAGGTCTTTCACCAGACATCACTGTTGAGTGGGTAGCTTTCCAGCTTTATATTATGGAGGTCCCAATTCAAATCATGGCCCTGAGACCAACTATCCTGTGAGGATTTTTTGGGGGGTAATTTTCCTCAGTTCTTCTATGAAGATGCCAGAATTAGGATATGATTACAACTTTCCGTGCTCTTTCCACCTTATTAATCCTACTCTTCGGTATTATACAGTTTTAGCTAGTGACAGCATAATTAAATAAGACATTACTACAAAAAATAAATTACAGGTTTTTCAGTATTTAGAATTGTTCATCTATGTTTGCTTGATTTGTGGCTTAGTTATTGTTTGTGTATTAGTTGCAGAGATTTTAACAGTTGTAGCATTCTGAGAATATATTTTGTTATAATTCCAGAATTTCTTGAGAAACTGCATGAAAAACCATTACAATGCACAAGCAGCAGAGAGTATTTTTGACAAGATAGAGGGACTCAGTAAAGAGAAGGAACTTCAAAACAAACAAGAAAACCAGAATGAAGCTGAGATTAGCAAGGAAGATGAAAGAGAGAATACTGATACAGTAGATGTGAAAGAAAATGATGGCAATATCAGCCAAGAAGAGGTGGAAAAAAAGCTTAGCAAAAAGGAGAAGAAAGAGCGGCGAAAAAGGGAAAAGTATGAAGCAGAATTGAAGGAAATAGAGGGTAATGAAATAATTGAGGCAGCAGGTAATAATGAAGTTGAGGGTGGAAAGAAGAAAAATCCTATACTAACAGAAAATGAAACTCAAGAAGGGAGGGAAAAATCGAGGTCGAAGCGCAAGGGAGATGTAGCTGTAGCAGAAAATGGTGTTTCAGAGGATAATGAAGGAAGCAGATCAAAGAAGAAACACAAGAAAGAAGCAATTATGTCAGAGAATGGCATTTCAGAAGAGACTGAGATGGCAGAAGGAAAGAAATCAAAGAAGAAAAACAAGAAAGAAGCAATTATGTCAGAGAATGGCATTTCAGAAGAGACGGAAATGGCAGAAGGAAAGAAATCGAAGAAAAACAAGAAAGAAGCAATTATGTCAGAGAATGGCATTTCAGAAGAGACTGAAATGGCAGAAGGAAAGAAATCGAAGAAAAACAAGAAAAAAATAAATGCTACAGAGAACACAGATACCAAAATGTGTGAGGGTGGAAAATCTAAGAAGAAACGAAAGAAGTGTCAAGAAGAAGTAGATGTATGCGGAGAGGAACCTACTAAGAAGAAGATGAAAAAAAATGGTAAGTACACTAGGGATTAATTTAAAATGCTGTGATTTCATGTTAAATTAAGTAGCAGTTAAAGAGCCATGTTAGCATTTTGTGACACTGAAATATTAACATAAATCATGAAGGAAATGTTTGCATAGCATTGCAAGTCTGACTTGTTTGCTCCATTTTGTCTGTCCGAAAACTGGAAGACTTCCAGAGAAAGTGTATCATGCATAAAATGTTTCACTCTTTTCTTTTCAAAACAGTATTGTCTGAATACTGTAAATTTTCACATAAAATGCCCTTCTGATTTTTGCAAGGCCTGGAATTTTAGTAAATTTTAGTAAAATTCTTCAGTTTCATATTTCATAAAAATCAGTTCAGTGGTTTGTGGGAGATGTTGCAGACATGGCATACCAACTAGGCACATCTCATAACATATTGTTTCAAATTTTTAAAAAAATGGAGTGCTTCACTAAATTTCTGGTGGCTTTCTTGTAGTTCTCCTCAGTTCCTAGTCAGATATTTGGATAGTATCTGCGAACAGTCACATTCTCTCCACTTCACAACCATCCACTCATGCAATGCTCTATAATCTACACAATTGAAAAAGTATTTTTAAATAACCCCAGAAACATTTGATCATAAGAATCCAGAATAAATTGTTCTTGGTTATCAATTTGTCATTTACTCACATGTTTCTTTGTTACAATATTCTCCAACAGGTGTAATCTTTCTTAGAGTTAGATTATGTTGTTGATAAACCCCAGTTCGGTGGCAGCTTTGGTTTCTGTTCAGCTATGCATAATTTGTTGTCTAGCAAGTGTAACTAGAACATGAATCCTGGGAAGTTAGTGGTAGATGCATGAGTGTGTGTTACTGTGTTGTAAAGCTGTTGTCCTTTATGTTTGTTAATATTGTGATTAATTTTCTTTATAGACACAAAGGAAATAGAAGAGGAAGAATACATCCACACAGCATCAGGGAAAATAAAATTTAACTTCCAAGAAACCATCATAAAAGTACTGGAGTCGAAAGACACTAAAGAATTGCCTGTAAAGAGACTGCGGAAGAAGGTGCTTGCAGAGCTTGAAGCCTCGGGTGCTGGTAGTGCAACAGATGTAAAGATGATTGCCAAATTTAACAAGAAAATCATGAAAATACCTGGTGTAATTGTACGCAAAGAAGTTGTTAAATTATGTTAAACTGATAGATTTGATGAGTATTTTAACAAGGGTTATTGTATGCTTTAGAGATTTAAGCAAGGCAAAGTGACATGGAGATATCCATTTACATTTATCTAAGTAACACATTTTTAAATATGAGCATATACACCAGAAGTTCTGATTAGAAACTTAGATGTGTGAATCTCAAAAGCTTATGGTAATCCATGCAAGGAAGTATTTCTCTATGATGCCATTAAACTTATCAAAAGAATCATGACAATTTGATAAATATGAAATGAAACTTATATTTTAACAGAACTGATGGAAAGTAAAATTATTTTTCATGAATGCATTAAGTCAGAAGAACAATACAGTGTATGGTTATCTTAGTTGCACTTTCCTGCCAAAAAATAAACTTATTAATTGAATGGTTCTTCAGACTGTTTCTGTCTTAAATTATTATATTGGCACAGAATCCATGTAATGAACACACCACTCGGGAACTTATATCTTAGAATTTCAAAGTTTGAGGCTGTGGTTACATCAGAAACGGGGAGATATGTTTAGTTGCGGTTCTTATTGGCCATTTTCCTATCCAGTTGTATGAGCGGGCTCCTTCCCTGGAAACATGTGAAAGATAATAAATATGTGAAAATACCTGACACATAACATTCATTAAGTTAATTTTCTTGAAGTCACTAGCTTTTATTCGGTTTCATCTCTCTCTACACTATTTCTATTGCCAGTTTCAGCTTCACTGTCTTCACAGTTCTCATAATCTTTGCTCACACTGTCACATTTACTGCTGAAATTAACCAGTTTCTTTCTCACCCTCTCTCCCGTTCATTACTTCAGATATACAGCACTTTAAATCTTTTGAGTGTCATTTTTGGAGATAGAGAGGTCCATCTTTTGATATATATAAAGCTGTTTAGTCCATTGAAAGATGGATGTTTTGGAGGAACATCTCACCTTTATCTACAGCATAGAAGAGTAAGCAGAGCAAGTTCTGCTTCAGCCCTGAGCTGGAGGAGATACGATCCTCAAAACATAGACCAACATTCACCAGACTACACAGTGTTATATATTAGAGGACAGAACATTTCATAACAATGTCAAATCTTACATTTCTGGAGAGGTCTCTTGCCACACTGTCTTGACCAACTGACACATCTGTGTCCAAACACGATCCACTTCCAACAGCCACTCAAAATACAACTGATTTAAATGATCCTTAAACGATTTATTCACTACAACATCCAGAATTGTGTATCAAAACATTAATGTTCATTTTAAACATACTGTTTAATTTATGGGCAGAACTTGTTACACAGTTAAGAAAACACTGCCAAATGCTGACACACACCAGAAACATAATAATCATTGATGTGAATACTACTGCTTAACCCGTTGCCGTGGTTCGTCGTGTATGTTTCGTCAGGGATTTAAATCGTCTGGGGGGGTTCGACGTGTATGTTTCGTTCAGCTGCACACCTATGTTATAACGCCCATAATAATTGATGGTTTTGCTGTAGATTGTTAGATTTTTCGCTGGCCTGTTGTCAGTAGAACAGAGTATAAATAAGACACGACTTTATCTGTGCCAAGTCATCGTTACATATGCCTGTCTTGCAGCAAAGTTCCTGTGGTTCTGGCGAGCGGTTTCTAGCTGTACTGTTATGAAAGCGTGTTTTCTTTGCTTTGAAGATATAAACAGAAGAGACGTGATGTTTACTGTTGTATATGATATCATATTGCCCTGAGCTGGCCACATTGACACACTCAACTGGAATTCTTAGAATAGGGTTGTCCAGAAATTTATTCTCGCATGATCCATTGATTTCGCACAGTACAAAGGCCCAGTTCTGAGAAAAACGCCACAATTTAAGGCAGAACACTGTGGTCACCCCCTGAGACGATACGGATGTGTGTGGGGGAGGGAAAAGTACTCATTATCGCTCCAGTTGACGCCATTTTATCGTACTGACCTTGGTGGTCGTTTCGAGGGATGACCATAACTATTTTTTTTGAGCCAGCTAAGCTCTGCTTTCTTCCTCTATATACCAGCCAGTTCTTATAATAAATTCATGAATTCTGTGGTCACCCCTACGACATCTGGGGAGCCGAAAAGGTTGGAATCTGAAACGCAGAAGCACCAAACCCTTCTTATGATAACACAAAGGTTGAATTTACTGCAGCTAATCTGTCAAAATATACGACTCACGGAGGGACATTTCCACTTGTATTCCCCCCACGGGGAAGAAGGCAGGGCCGCACAGAAGTGTGGTTAGAAAAAAAAAAGCAAAAGTAAAGATACGCAGTATTGGTTTGGTGATTTGAGCCAGCGCTGTGTTTAGACTAATGCTTCAAGGCGTCACCTGCTTACATAGCCGAGATACCGGGTGCTCATATTATAAGGCAAGGTTATAAAACCATCTTTTAAGATCATTTTAGTGAAAGTTTCATCCTTCAAAGCGTACCATTCACTGCTCAAATACTAAACAACCTGCTTCCATTGAAGATATAAAGGGGGTTCATATTATAAGGTAAGGTTATAAAACCACCTTTTAAGATCATTTTAGTGAAAGTTTCATGTTCCTATCTCATAGAATTTAAGAACAATGATGAATAAATAATTTTCGAGCAAAATTTAAATGGCCGGCTGAATATATTACCGCAGGAGCCGCGGCCGCGGAATTTAAATGACCACGTCAAAGGGTTAATAGCAGTTTTTAGTATGGATAAAAAGAGCACTGAAAATCCTCATTCACAAATGTAGGTTGTGATAAATGGGATTAGAACTTAGGATAACTTGGTCAGAACGGGATATGCTTCACTAAGTTTGCACTGGAATCAATTCAGTTTCACTGATCCAAAATGAAATAGGAATCTCCTGATTACTGTACCAGTCAAGAAGCTTGTCTTCTGCCAGAATTCTGATTGTTCAAGGGAAACAGTAAAGAGGTTCTTCACACAAATGTCAGCTACTGAGGCAGTTATTGTCAGTGGTAATTTTCAGGTTTTGCAGACGTGTAACATTTTTCACAAACTTTTGGTTCTGCTAGATGTAATTTCATCAAAGAGAAGAGCACTTGGAATATTCAGATTTCACTCTTTCCCAGACAGCTGACTTCTCTTGAAGGGACAGGACCATTTCTTTGGCCTCCAAAATAGTAATTTCTGTACTGTGTAGTGAAATGTTCTGCAAGGTATGCCAGAGAAACCATAAAGTTAGGATTTGTGATATGCTGAAGCAGGATTTATCTGTTTTCATGCAGAAACCCTGCTTCAAATATTTCCCCTTGATAAGCAGTGTACCTCTACGTGAAGCAGAAGTACACTGTGTTCAGACCTAGCCTCTTCACACAGCACCCCGAACATGCAATGACTGACTGGCTCAAGTTGACAGTCTGGAAAACTTAATGGTGTTCTGTGCCAAAGCATATTTATGAATCCAGTGACATTTGGAATCAACTTTTTGATGAGCTGTGAATCATGGCCAAAGCACCATCAGTACAAAGAGCTTCTAGAAGGTCCCATGAAAGCTGTTAGAATAAAAGCCATTGTTTACCATAGCCATAACATCTACCTGCCTTCACCATTTCTTTCACAACTTCAAAAAAGAAAAATTGAGTGTATTTTGAGACATTAGTAGACTCATCAAAAACCAATTTTTTCCAACTTTCTTTATTCACAGCACCACTTGCCTGCAGATATCTTCTGACATTCCCAATTCTATCATGAATGGCATCAGTTTGATAATAGGATGTGCTGTATTTACTTTGCATCTTTACCACACAGCTTGGCCATTTCCATGGTACATGGTTTCAGCAGTTTCTGCAATGGTGTGGCTTATTTCTTTGGCAACCCTGCGGCACTTGATAACTTGCCTGAAGTGCTGGCTTCTTCTGGGGAGTATATCCATAATTTGGGTGCACCCTGTTTCAGATTATGTTGATTTTAAAAAACTTCTATGTCTTTAGCATTCTGAGGGTGAACAGTGTGCAGATGTTATTTTAAGTTCAGGTGGCTTTATGTATCCACTGTTAAGTTCCTTTATTCAAAAGAAGCATTGTGGCTTTTGCAAACCATCTTCAAGCACAAGTGTAATGCCAAGCTGCACATATGAATCCTGGCAAGTGTTTCTTTGACATGTTAAAACTGGGTGAAACAGGAATCACACCTTGAAAAAAGTACAAATTAAAAAAGGTGCCAAAATCCACTCCACTTTCTCATAATGCATGAACTACTATTCTTGCCTTTAAATATGTGTAGACATTATGTTGACAGTACATAATTCAACTTTGATCAAAAATTTCAAAGAACAGTTTCTACTGCAATTTTATAATGAAAGGCCATACACAAGTTATTCTTATTACAGAAATTAAGAAAGTGCATAATACTGTAAACGCAGTACTTCACAAAATGAAAGGAACAAGCAGTGGTATATTAGTACTTATGTAGGGCCTATGTCCTATGCAGAAAAGATGCAAACACAACATATGATACATGACAGTAATAGGATGCTGTGGAAATCATAGTGCAGAATTTCCACTCTGATGTCACGTATATGAAACTGCCTCTATGGTCTAGTGGTCACTGTTCCTGGCTACAGATTCAGAGGTCCAGGTTCGATTCCCGGCACTACCAGATTTTTTTCTGAGAAGTAGTGGGTCTGGAACAGGGTCCACTCAGCCTCCTGATAATTGAGGAGCTATTTCAAGGAAATAGTGGCTCCAGTCTAGAAAACCGAAATTAATGGCCATGGGAATTCGTTGTGCTGACCACGCAACACCCTTTATCCGCAAAAGTTGGCACTAAACTTTGCCAACAAGTGGCGGTCGCTCAATTGGTATACTTCGCTTGCGGACTAAAATCACGGAGTGTGTTTGTTTGTCATGTATAGGAGTATAGACCAAGTTTAGATTGGTGACTCGATTTATTGAACACTTACACCGTCATGACTCGTGAATACACTACAGATCAATTGACACACACAAGACTAGTGTCCTCAGTCTGTTATAGTCTCCGCTAGCCGTTTCATGGCAACGGATTTTAACACATGAACTGTAACAATCTAACTAAATTACACACTCCAGATATCACACATAAGTCTTCCCTTCACAGCCGGACTTTCAACCAAGCACTTTTGCAAGTAACCCACAGCCATTTCACACCTACTTCACTGCCTATTGAAAGACTACTTGCCCCCAAACCATCCTGGTCATAACAGTTTTGGCATGGACAACGCAGAAAACACCATTCCTTTGTTGCTGTACCATTGTTGTAGTAACATGTTTACGGAGCTGTTGCCTAGTAACACCTCTAGTATATTTGCTTATCTTAATAGTGTGCATCCTGTTGTGTGTCATAAATAAGATATACAAAAGTACAGAAGGTATGCAGTCTGCACAACAATATTAAGTATTTAAAAAACA